GACTACTGTACTGGAAAATTACTGAGCACTGTTTATAAAGGCAATCAGACAGGAATGTTAGTCTTGGAGTCCGACTTTCGACATCAGCAGCTGTATTATTCTACTAGATTCCTTGTACTATTTTCAAAAAAAAGAAACCCACCTTCTAGTGACTGGGTGTGGCATAACCTGTTCCCAAAAGCCAAGATTCACCTGATTATTTTGACCCCAGCACGGCAGAGGTATGGCGGAGAGTTTCAGAAGTGTGTACGGAGGGAAAGGTAAGGATAGCAGAGTGTGGGGATTTCATGGGAATCAGGAGTCCATTTGTAAACAGCATTTTCTTGCTTCTACGTATTCAAGCATGAACTTAGTTTGATAGCTGTAAGCAAGAGTTATCTGACTGTCAATTCCACGCGACTGATTCTCAGAAATCTTTTCCAGTTCTCCTTGCTAAAATTATCCAATGTGAAGTCTTGGCCCCTCTGCAAGTTGCTGTGAGTTTTGCCTAACGTGGGTAGAGCCATGGTTTTCACCCAGGTGCCTCTGAAAACCCAGAGCAATTTTGACATGACTTTGCATCACAAACTGGTGCTAAAGACAACCAGTGGTAACTAGATATGGAGTTATCCTCACCTGTATATTACTGCATCAATGTATGTTAAACCAGATGGCATGCAATACAATCTGTTAGAAACAGAACCCCCAGATTATACTGCTTTAGGTAAGTTTCTGTCAGAAGTGCTTTATTCAGACTGGCAGCGTCTTGTTTAGTAGCAAATTTCCTCTGATACTTTATTCAGCGGTAGTACAGCCTCATAACTAGTTGTAGTTAAGAGCCAGTTCTAAAAAAAACAGGTTTAATAAGAACAGAAAAATTTCAGTTGTTACAAATGTGTCTTTGGTCACATCCAAGCTATTATTGTGAAAGCAGGGAAATTAATTTCACTGTAGCATTGGGAAGGGAACAAAAGGGCCTGTAGATAGTGGCTATGTCATGGACGTTTAATTAGTGGAACAGAACCAACCTGCAGGCACCGATCTTCTGCAGGGCTCAAGGCAGAAATAACCAGGTGAAATTTAATGGGCTGCAGTATTTACCCTAGAACGTGTAATGGCTTTATGTTATAAGAGACTACAAATCTCTGAAAAGTGACCTCATGTCTTTTGATTGCACTCCTCCACCCCATCCTTCAGCCTTGACCCATTTTATCTTTGTAGCATTTTTTCCCAAATCCTTAGCTACAAGTCTTCATTTGCAGACATTCATCTCCCCTGGGTTTATGTACATAGTGCTGTAGACCATTTTTTTCCTAGAAAATGTGGGAGTCTTAAGCAAGTAGGTAGAGTGGATAATTCAAGGTTAATGACTAATCCAGACCATAGAAAGATCAAATGATGAACTGAACCTCTGAAAGATATTGCAAGTTTGCTCCAGGGGCCTGCCAGATGAGTGTTGCCAAAGAAGATTAGAAGAAGAACTCCCAATTCCTCAGCAGAGATACTGAGAGGTCAGAGGTTGAGGAAGACTCAGAAGACAAAGATTTAAAACAGCCCTCTCAGATTGCATGTGCTGCCCATCCCAGCTTTTTGAGGCTACAGAAAAATAGACCCTTCTGGGCATTTTGTAGCTGGAAAGACAGCCACTGATTGGGTTAAAAAAATCTGTGCTTAAAATCTCATCACTTTCTTCCTAAATCTTACCGCCAGCAGGGATCATCTAGCTCTTGAATCTTCTATAGAGGTAAGATTACAAAAAAATAATACCATGGATAAAGCCATCCCTGTGGTTGTGAGAAAGATGAGTGTGTTTGTCACATAAATCAGGACTTGTTGGAGAAATGAGAGGCTCTCCAGGGACTCCAGCTAAAGCTCTCACATTGGCCAGCAGAAGATGGGTTATAACCTGGGAGGCAAAGACCAAACTGAAAAGAACTGTGGTGTCAAGCAATCCCTACGATCAGTTTACAGGCTTAAAACATAACTGGAAGCCAAATGCTCTATATGATATACACAGGGCTTAGTGTACAACAGTTAATTGGCTTAGTTAATAATACAGAGCTAGCTTGGGGTTTTGAGTTAGAACACTGGCGTTATTTTTTATATTGTCACAAGAAAAATACTTACCATTAAAAAAAAAATTAAGTCTCATTCCTAAACACATCCAGGTGTTTTCAAAAGGTGTGATGACAGTGTAGAGTAGAATTTGTCTGTAGTGTAATTTAATGGTAACCTTAATGTGATACTATTTGTGCAACACATTTTTCTTCCCTGTGTGTATATTACTTACAGATAGTAATTATGCTAATACCTCCTGCACATTACCAAATATGGAACTGGCAGAAATTTTCATATTTAATCACTTTATCCATAAATCCTTTGTCTTTCCACTTGGGTTGTGAATTCTTTTGTTGAAATATAGTTGCAGATTCAGTGTCTTACAGCTGCCTAGTAAGGGGGGTTCAGAAGAGGGGATAGATCAGGGCACTGCCAGTATTGCACTCACATTTACTTGTTTGCCAGATCATTTTAACGAGTCATTGAACCAAGCAGAGACTTCCCTGAAAGGACAAAGTTTTGTGGTCAAAGCAATTATCCTCCTACACACCTTTGAAGTATCGTACTTTACGGATATTATTATTATTATTATTATTCAATCATTTAATCTATCGCTTGTCTCTCAGCTATGAAATTAAAACTACCACAAATAGCCTTTAATTTCTAAGTATTTTGGATCCATGTTAGCAGCAGTTGTCAGAAATTGGAGAGAGTGGGCTGTGAGGTTTCAGAGATCCCTTACAGCGTAGCCCCAGCTTATTTTCACCATTGGGCTCGGATCAGGGGTGGATGTAGTGGGTTGGTAGCTGAAGCTGGCCATACAGATGCCACTCTGACAAAAAAGCTGGAGACTGTGTTTTCATCACAGGCACCACTTTGTGTTGATTCCCTGGGTTTTGGCTCATGTCCTGTCCAATCATTCTTCTCATGATGATGATAGTTATACTTTTTTCTGTGCCAGTGTTCCAGTTACACTCTGTCCTATCAGTGCTGGCACTAACTAGAGACCACCAAGCAGTGTAGAAATTAGGTGATTTCTCCCCTCCACAAGAGCAACCAAAAAAAAAAAGGAATTTTCCTTCCTAAAAGGAAAGTTAAGCCTTACTTCTTAAGGCATCTTGGAAACAGTTGGCACGTTGAGTGCTGCCCATCCTAAATGCAGGCTCACAGATAGCCTCTGCCAAGAATGTATTTTTATCTTTTTCCTTTGCTTTTAGTCCCTTTCCCTTTTTCTCTTGCCAGTAGCTGTAGATCACAGTGAGAGTACAGTGCTGAAGTGAATATTAGTTCAGCAGAGCCTGTACAGAAACCATTCCTGGCCCTGTGACTCAGATTCAGCTCATAAAGCAAAGTCACCCTTTGTGCCTCTGTGCCCTTGTTGAGCAATTCCTTCACCCAGATAGATAACTCGCTCCATTTGCTCTGACAGGGCAGAGCCCAGCTGATATCAAGGGAGCCCGGCTATTAATTTTCATGAACACTGATTTCTGCACTTCAAGGCTATTTTTGTCACCCGTTCAGTCCCAGTATTCGATTACCCAGCTGGCATTCTCCCATTCCATAAGCAAAATACCAAGCCCTCAGCCACAGAGATGCACCAAAACTACTGTCTAGAGAAACAGGTTTGGTGTCCTGCCAGCTGTTTTAGCCAACGGAAATTCACAGATGTGTCAACTGCTTTAATGCACAGAAGCATTTGAGCAGGGCCTTGTTTCACAAAAGACAGGTGGCCAGCCTGCCCCATCCCGTCCCACTCAAACCAACTGGCTTCTGCCTTCACTGTCAACGCAGTCATCAGTGCTGTCACACCAGGTCACCCGACAAAGCATTTGGCAAATGAATTTGTGACAATTGCACCGAGTGAAGATGTTCCTCCAAATTGTGCTGAACTGCTTTTTCCCTGGTCAGGAATGGGAAGATGGATGGGAAACAGTTGTTTGATTTGTTTAGGAGAATTACACAGCAACTTCAAAAGAAATGTGGTTAATAAGTTGGCGTGTGCGGTGCTCTGCCTGGACCATGGGAGCCTTCAGCAAAAGGAAATAGTATTTCTGAGCAGACTTGGTTTTGAGAAGTCTTATTTGAGCCACTTATCACAATAGACAACCCAGGATTGGGTGACAAGGAAAAGATTCATGGTATAAGGATACTGATCTAAATGATAGTCCTAAATAACAGGCTAAAAGGTCAATTACCTGGTGAGAAAGGCATGAGAGCCTTCCGGTGCACAGCGCCTACACAGTTATTGTTCCAGTCTTTCACTCCATCCAGGAATGCCTGTAATTACAGAGAACATGTTCCTCATTGACAGATTTCAGGAAGCATAAAGACTGATGCAGTTTGTCTGTAGGAAAAAATAAATGTCTCTCCCTGCATACCTCCTCCTTCAGATTCTTCTTAAGACTTTTTATTCACTGCTTTGTAGCCCAGCTCTGACCACAGAGGTGCTTCCCAAACTTGCTGGAGTCAGGAGGAGCCCCTCAGTTGGCCTTACACTGAGCTAGAAGACAGTGGGGTGAGGTTGCTTCATTTCCCTTGCCTGTCCACAGCCGGGGACTGCTCACAGCAGCAATGGGTTCCTTGCTTTGGAGGAACAACGTTGTGCTGGGTATTTGCCAAAGAGCCTTTAAAGACTTAGCAAAGCAAACAACAGCAAAAAAGGCCACGTACGTGTTCCCAGCACACTTTGATCAAAGGGGAAGGAAATGGCAACTGAAATGTGCTTACAAAGTGAATGAATCCCAAAGGCACAGAGGAACGGTGGGTGTAGGGACATACCCCCTGACCCCATCCAGACTTGGTTATGGCACATCCTTGTGAGCTACGGCAGCTTTAAGACATTGTAGAATCTGTTCTGTAGGGGAAATCTTGTCTTTCTTAAGTACTTGAGCCTTGGCAGTTAAATGAAGCCTAATGTTTTATCTCACCAGTTTTTTAACGTTCCTTCTCTGCCTCCTTCCCAGGTGGGTGACTGGCCATTGGAGTCCCTGCTCTGCTACTTGTGAGAAAGGTGTCCAGCACCGGGAAGTGACTTGTGTTTATCAGCTGCAAAATGGCACCTACGTTAACACAAGAGACCTCTACTGCCTTGGCAACAAACCAACAACGGTGCAAAGCTGTGAAGGACGGGACTGCCTTTCTATCTGGGAAGCATCAGAGTGGTCAAAGGTAGGAACTTGATTCAAGACTGCACACAGCTCTGGATACACTTTCCCTTATGCAGCTAAATGCTTAAAATTAAGAATGTTGTCAGCATACTCCGTGCCACTGGGTTGGACTGTCATTTGTTGAGATAATCAGTTTAAAACTGAGGTTTGTATTCCATACCAGATGAGTAATTAAGGCGTGTTTCAGATATCATGCTATAGAAACTGTATCTTTCCATCTGCAATCTCTGACCAGCAAGGAAAAACATTTCAGTGACCTGAGGCCAGAAGCGTAACCCACCAGGGCTTCTGGCTCCATTTAAATGCAGTATGAAACAAATACCAGATTTATCAAGCATCTGCATGTTACAGAGAATGTACAGTCTTTGGGCCTTGTCCAGCCTTCTTTTGTGTAATTCCAGGAATATGGAAAAGCTGGTTATACTTTGTATAAAAGGTCATCTCCACGTAGTCGCAGAGAGTTAAGAAACTATTCTCAGATTTATAAATGCATTTCAGATATGAATGATGTGTGGTCTAGACAGCCTGCATTTTGTTTAGCGACAGAGTAAAGTGGGAATATGCCCACAGTTCACGACCAGCTAATGCAGGGCAACTTTGTCTGTACCTTGTGAGTAGCAGTCCTAATAGGATCCCCGTGTTGGTTTTGATATTGTATCTTCTGGGCTCACCTGAATGATGATCCTTTCACTCTTGGTGCAGTGCTTACAGCCCTACCAGTCTCACTGCAGACTGGCTGTGTTACAGGACTGTCCAGCCACAGTCATTTCTGTAGGAAGGATCTTTCCTTGTTATTCATCTCTATTTTGAAACAGTGAGCTCCTGTTTAAAACATTGGTGAAGAGCTTTTGCAAAATATTATTGTTAGAAATGTGCTTAAAAGTCCCAGCAGCTCAGGATACAAAGGATCTTGCACTGAGGAACAGAGTCTCTTAACAAACACAAAGTGATTCCATTGTCTGCCTTTTGAACAGGAAATCTTTGGCAAGTGAGATGACAGTTAAGTGAGAGTCGTGTTTCCTTTCAGTAGGACACTGTGTCTGTTCACTACTGCATGAGATTCTTTTTCTGAGTTCTTTCATTTCAAAAGGTGTGGAGAAACACACTAAAGTTTTCATAAGTTGTCTGACAGATCTTTTGTTTATCATAGAAATAACCCTTTCAGATGATGGCCTCTTTATTTCTTATAGCTGCACTAGCTGAACTCTTTACAGCTGAGGCTGTCTTATGATGCAATTCCTACCTGTTTAGCACAGGAAAGTTTTACATGGGGTCTTTTGTTAACAATCCCAAGTACTTCTCTCTCCTTTTTATGGAAAGGAGTAAGTCAAGTTACAGAAAACTTTTTCCAGAGTGGAAATTTTCCGTATCTGTGACCACATAACTCATTTACAAATACATAATATATTTTCAATAACTGGTTTACTTTTCCTTTGATAAATTTATTTACCTTTTGTCGTGTCTGTAATTGCCCACTCGTGATTTTAAATTCATTCTTGTTCTGGCACATTTCTGCTATTATGTAGCACAGTTGACTCCAGGACACATTGATGCTCTGCCAGTTTGAACACTGCTCATAACTAGGATTTTCTTTACTGGTAATCACTTTAATCCTCAGCATTTTAATCTCATGTTGTGGAATAAATATCACAGTAGTGATATCATTTTATAAATCAATTTTCTCGTGTATGTTTTTCAACTTTTTTGTTATACAACAAAAAACAGTTGACCACATTGATGTCTGGTCCCCAATCAAAAATGTGTGTTTTCAAAGCAAATTCCAATACAGTCTTCATTGTGGAAAAAATTAAGTTCCCCTTTTATTGCCAAACACTTGAGATTGTTTTGAACAAAGTACTGCTCAACCCATTTTTAAAGGCAAAAATAGAGACTGTCAGCAAAAGGTGAATGTTTCTACTGTTGGGGAACTAGAGTAGAAAAAAATATGGATTTCCTTCAAATAAAGGAGCTGTATCTTAACTGCAACGTTGTGTTGCTCCTTTACAAAACTGTGTGGGATTTGACTAAGTAATTCGTTAATAAAATAAGACCTAATGATCTCAGCTGGACACTGAGGGAATGCGCATATTATTTAGCAGACTGCTTTGTTGTGGAATCTCTGTAAAATCTATGTGTTAAGAAATTCTTCATGAAAACAGAGGACTTGAGGAAAGAATAAAAACTCTTAGAGAGGGTGATTTATATGTGACCACCAAAGATCTGTTGGAAAACTTTTGCAAATGCTGTTTTGTCTAGGAAAGTATATGCAGTATTAATCTGTGAATGACTTGAAAGCTTGTGGGAAGAACAAACAGTTGGTGTTTTTCCCAGACTTGCTTGTAAAACCCACCTAGAGATTTCTCCTACTGTGAAAAATACTCCCACTTCAGTTTGATTTACTTTGAGTAAATTGGACTGTTTGAAAGATTTTATATATTGTGCTTTGTAGTTTGAAATGAACAAGTGCAGCCCTGAGGAGTCCACCCGGAGGACTGAGGAAAATGATATATAATTTGGGAAAGTCTATGCAACTTGGGGCAAATTCATGGCTTTTAGGTACCATTTAGGGAGCTCCAGCCTGGGATCTCTGGCAAGTCTTGTGCTCTGAGGAGTCCAGCAAAGCAGTTTCTGGAGTTCTGCAAAGCCTGGAAGAATTCATCCCCGTATCTAGCAGAACTATACAATTGTGCTTGTTACAAAGATGTTACATCCGTAAGGAGGTCACGCCATGAGCAGCACATAGTAAATTAAGTGGAAGGTTTCCCAGATTTTCAAGAAGTCACTTTGTAGTGCTCTGAAGTATTTAAAGGCATGTCTGTTTGCTTGCCAGCTCATAAACGCTTGTCATTCATGTCCTTAACAAGGCCAGCAGGTCAGAACTGCCTGGATTGTGCTTTTAAGACAGTTAGACAGGCATGCTGAGATTTGTCCATTTGATGTAATTTATATCAAGCTGACGCTTGTTTCCAGCATAGACCCCCTGGATGGAGAAGCTTCTTGGAATACGTTCAAAAGACCTCACAGAATATCTCATATCTTCTCTATTTATTCAGTGTCAAATCAACTGTCTTTTGCACGCTGATCCCCTGAAGGGGAGAACTTGACATGCTAGAGGAGGTTAGTTTTTATCTCAGTTGGTACATATATCATTTTTCCACCCACCTGTCCCCAGTGGCTCTTCAAGAAAATTTCTCATTCTTAACCACTGCAATGGCATGAAAATGAAGAGCAGAGAGAGACTAACTATGCTGTTGTGTAGTGGCACGCACTTAGGTGGCTGCATCAGCAGATCTGGTACTCTTTTACTGAACTAGTTATTTAATGACAGCATCAGCAGACCTGGTACTCTTTTACTGAACTAGTTATTTAAAACAGAAATGTTATTTCAGTTCGTGCCAGTGTCCCTTTCCCACCTAGTACAGTCAATGAAATCCGGACAAATTCTCCAGTAAAATGGAATTTCTAGTCAACCATGGGTAGAGATAACAAACAGGTGACCAGATACCCCTACTCTTTAGAAGATACCTTCATAGTCCCCAGGCAGAAAAACATTTGTGGACAATTTGTGCTCACTTGCATGAACATTTGTTAGATCACCCAAGTGTTTGAATCAAGTCTTCCTTCGGCGACTGATTCTAGCAGCTCCAGCAGCCTGCTGCTTCCTCACAGGACTTCAGACACTCCCTGCTTATGCTTTTGGTGTTGAGAAGTCTGAGTTTCATCCCTGCTGATGGCCGTGGCTGGAAGCTGATCACACCACCGTGGCTCACTGAATACTGCCTCTCCTGAGCTGTCCCCTTTGTGCATTGGAAGTTCTTCAGAACTAACATAGTGATGAGGATACAGCAAAACAAAGAGGGAGGGTCATGTATGTGTTTCACATGAGAACATGTGTGAGAACTGTGACCTTGCCATGGTACGTGCAAACTGCCCTGCAGAAATGTGTTTGTAACTGGGATGAAAAAATGCATTTATCGCCACTATTTTACTCCCATGATGCATCAAGGCATGTGGCAGTTCTGTGTTGTGAATGTCAGTCTGTCCTTTTTCAGTACGAAGGATGAGCTCTTAAATACAAGAGTAAGTATTTTTTTCATCTATAACACCAATTCTAGCAAAATGCCAGCTGATATTTTTCAAAGAAGGTTAATTTTCAGAATTGCCATTTTTTGTAAGTAGAATATTTCACAAGCAAATACCATGCTTTTCAAATTACTCTTTCATGTTTGAAAGGGGCTTAAATTATTGGGAGAAAATCTTAGGGTTATCAGTTTTCCTCTGTGTTCATAAAACCAGCTTTTCCTTTTAGGTATGTTACCACGATAGAAGTTATCATTTCTAGGCACCGTGTAACAGAAAACAACTCCCTGTTGTGTTGCAGTGCTCAGCAGACTGTGGCAAGGGGATTCAGAAAAGAACAGTGACGTGCACAAATTCTCAAGGAAAATGTGATGCAGCCACCAGGCCAAGAGATGAGGAAGAGTGTGAGGATCACACAGGCTGTTACGAATGGAAAACGGGCGATTGGTCGAAGGTAAGAGTGAACGCTACGCGGTGTTTTCTTTCTAAGTGAAAGATGTTCAGAGTCCTGTGCTTCTCTCTGCTGTCTGTGTTACTTTGCAGTTTTGATATTTGGAAAGGAAGGGTTTAACTGGTTTTGACTGGGGTTGTTGCTGGGATTTAAACTCCCCTTGTACCGTTTATAACCCAAACATTTCAACACAGGCTTATGGATATGACCCAGCAAGTTTTAGAGAAGTGTATTCCAAACAGGATAGAAATGAGTATTAATTGACAGCTTAACCATCCAAAGGCAAAACCTACACAAGATTCCCACCACGGGTGGACTCTTGTTGTCAAAAAGCTACTTTTTAAACGATGCTGAAGCTGCTTCCCATATTTCAAAAAGCAGACTCTGAACAGTTCTAGCTAGCAGGTTGGATTCTACAGAAAAAAGTTCATTAGCAGTGTCTCCCAGGAGTGCAGAGGACTAAGAAAGTGTCCCATGCACAGCCTGGGCAAGCTAAAAAGAAAATAGCAGGAGATTTTTTTCCTTGAGAGTAAATATGTGTTAAAAATTTGCACTTCGAGTTAGGATCCTAACCACTGAGAAAAAGGGAAATCTCACAAGAAGGCTGTGGTGAGAGTTTTGTCTCCCTCAATGCATCAGTATGGAGGTGAGAAGAGAGCTGGACCTTGGTCCTCTTATCCCACAGGTGATAAATCTGAAGGTTTGGGAGAACTGCTGTTAAACTGAATACTACCGGGGGGGAAAGTGCGGGGAAGCCCGAACAGACTCTCACAGAAACTGAGGGTAATTGAGAGCACTCACAGCTGAATTCAGTTCCTCTGCCTCGTGCAGGTCCTGCATGCAGAGCCTGACAGTGCACTGTTCTCTTACCACAGATGTAAGACTAGAGCTGTGCAGCTGAATTTCATGCTAGCCTGAGACCTACACAGCATAGTGCTCTCCTAGACTTATTCCAACCACCTGAAAGGAAAGCAAGTCATGAATTTAAAAGCAGAGCCAAAACCATCAGTCCCTTCCTCTGGGCTGGATTTTACCTTCACTTAGGTCTGTCTGAACTTCATTTCTCCAGTGACATCAGTGGAATTAATTCCCGAGCGCAGTGGATTAAACCAGAGCAGAGTCTGCTCTGTATTTGCATTCTGATCTTAAAGTAACAGGTAGTTTTGCTTGGGAAGGAGGCTTGGCAGTGTGAGAAACTCAGTCTTTGGCAGTGTTGTTCATAAAGCATCCTTTACATTACTGACTTCATGTTTGCATAAAGAACTAAAATTTCCCAGGAATATTATATTCCAGTTTAGTTTTATCTTATCTTTGTAACTGTACTGTGCTTTAAACAGAAAGCCTACTTTGTGTCCTGGAATGTACGGCATGTGCAGAAACCACTGGGATACGGTAGTTGCATTTTGCTTTCCAAAAACCCAAACTCCAGCAAGCAAAAACCAGTGAAATAGAGGCCCATAATGGGCAAATTGGCTTATCTGGGATTGAATTTTATTTTTTTTTTTACATTGTGATTAGGAATTACAAATATTTATAGATATACTCTGTCATAGATACATGAATTTAATGGTGTCAGTGCTGGGGAATGCATTAAGAACCTGCCACATACAAAAGGTCTGTATTTAAGCTGAGCCAGGAATTTGTATCACAGAATGTTTAGAGTATTGAACATTATTTTATTCATAACCTGGCACATAGAGTCCACACAAGCTGGCCAAAACAAACAATTGCCGTGTGTTAACAGGTGAAATAACATTATTTATTTATTTGTGGAATTTTAAAACATTTTGGCATGCAAATTGACCCGGATTCTCATTATAGGGAGGAATATGAAATAATTGTGTATTCGCTGATTACATGGATTGAAAGTTCAGTATTGTGTGAATGGTTCCAATCTGATAAAGATGTTGGCTCCCTGCTAGAAAGGCTGCGATCATACACTGGCCACAATAAATAGTGTTGTTGATGGATTTAGTGTCTGCATGTGAGCAGGATGGGATCAGTGCAAAATCACTTGTTATTTGCAATTCTTAACTCGGGCTCAGGATCCTCCCTGTGCAGAAGGGCACAAAAGCTTGTGTGCTGTGTATGTGGCCTGCTTCTGTCTGCAGAGAGCTTGTGCCAGCGCTCTGCTTCCCAGGAATTTCACCCTATGCAAGTCCAGAAGGATGTTCTTGGACTTAGATTTGGTTTATAATGAGCATTTAAAATTCTAGACATATTGGTTAATTCTGACTGGACCCTTAGATCACACAATTAGATTCCTATTCTCTGAGTAGATGGGGGTAAGCAAAAAACACCACTGGAATGCTAGAAAAGGGTATGGGCAGATACAATTTTTAGAAGAAAATGTAGTGTCTCAGGAGCCCAGATAGCTTAAATGTCTGGTGTGGAATTCAATTCTTCACAAATCTTGAGCAAAGGATTTTCATCATGAGAATGCAGAAGCCTTAATGCAAGGCTTAGGCTTAGGTGGAGAGCCTTTACAGCTATCAGCAGCTACTCTTTGGTGGTGTCCAGCTTTAAACAGTTCCTCCTTTAAGCAGAAACATGAAGTCTGCGGCAGTTAGATTATAGTGAACTCTTTTAAAATTCATACTTCCAGGGTAAAATTCCATTGTAAAACATTTGTTGCTGGTGCTGTAAAAATCCCTTTGAGAGAGCCTTATGCTGACTAAGGTGGAAACTTTTCCTATTAATGCAAATTGATCTCAGAACAAGCAACAACATTTTGCAATTAATGCATTGTACATTTGTTACTTATTGTTGAGAATCATCAGGGAACCAAGATTTAACCAACGGTAGTAATTATCACAGATTAAAACAAGGGGGTTTGATGCTTTATGTGCAAACAGCTTGCATGGTGACTTGGCCTCCAATCCTTAGTTTCCCAAACCAAGATCGTCTGAAGATACCAGGAAATCATGTAAGAAAGAGGCAAAACCTCATTTAAAAAGCCAAGTTCCAGATACAACTCATAAATAGAACAGGCTGTTTGGGTGGTAATAGTTTATATTCTTAGTAGCAGTATTTATGGAATATGTGGACTCTGTGCATGAGAAGACAGAGATCACATCCCTAAAAAGCTCCCAGCCCTATATAAATAACTCACCTTGCATCTGACAGCAATGTACACGGTTATCCTAGATAAGATCTTGGATCCTGTTGCATTCAGAACGTGCAAGTGTGGGCAGCAGTAAAAGCTCCAAATCTGTGCCAGTCAAGCTGTGGTTCTATATTCTCAGACCCTGGATCCACCTCTGTGTAGAAGAGGTGAGGGCTGGACACATGGCCTCTGTGTCTGATCTTCAGCCCGCACCTACCAGCCAAAACCTCATCTACTGGCCTTAGAAATGGCTGCCCATTGCATCTCCACACTCTGAAGAAGTGGGATTTTGTTCCATTTTCTGTCAAGTTTAGTTGCAGATGCTCCTTACTGCATATTGTAGCTGTGGGAAGCATTTGGAGCTAATTGAGTAGTCTTGGCTGTGATATTTCTGTATTCCCAATGTATTTGCAGCATATTTCAAGTGTTGCGTGAGGAACGGATCTATCTAATTCACTTTGCAAACACATAGGGCCAGGTCTTTAAAGTTATTTTAAAAGTCTTTTAATTTACCTTTGTTAGTCCAGTGCTTGAGTTTAACAGACTTTGTACTGTAATTCTAAAGACAGAGTATTGTTCTGTTACTCGTAACCGTGTGGAACCTCTGTTACCACCACTGTTAAACTTGCAACCTCTCTGCACTACTGCAATTTCTCTTTTAAAGCCCTTATCTTAAAGGGATGTAATTATTATTTTTAGCATTTACCACCAACGCAGCATTGGTGTTACGAGATACATAACTAAGCTATTCCTGGCCCAGGAGTCTTCCAACCTTGTAGAAAAAAAGATTGCACAGCGAGAGACCCACTCAAGGTGTGTTAACCTCAAATCCTATTTTATTGTTGCCTGGATTCTTGAGAATTGCAACTGATTATATCATCCTTTTTTATATATGATGCAAGATACAAATGGGAATCCAAGCCGTCTCCCATTCAGTCCTTTCTTCCAAAAGGAAATTCCACATCCAGTTTGCATTCAGTTAAAGAAACAAACATCTCGTACACTCTTTGTACTTTGAAAATAATTCCTCCGTGTTTGAAATCTGAGCTGTTAAACGTTCTAGCACTGGAAACATTTTTACATTTTTTGTTGTAGTTGTGCTGGTGGAAAGAACAAACACAGGTCGCTCAGTTTCCCGACACTTGCCTCAGACTCCTAGGCTGCTGAAAATGCGCCTCTTGATGCTGTAGCAAGACAGTAGTTCATTCTTTCATGACGAATTGTATTTTGCTGACAAACTTCATGTCAAGGATTACATTTCTGTGAAGAATCTGGCCAGCTTGTGAACAGAATGTGTCTTTATGTGTGTGGCTCCCCGGGAGGGTTCCAGGACAGCAGCCCGAGTCCTCACCATGGGCCCTCTCTGGGCTGCGCCTGGAGGGACCGGCTGCAGGAAAACTGAGGGACTCCAGCTCTCCCCTGAAGTCTGCCATGACTCAAACAGGTGAAAACATATGGCCAAAAAGATGGGGGGTGCACTGTGGGCCTGCTGCAGGGACACACAGGCTTAATGTATGGGCTACCTGTGGTGGTGACGGAGATCAGATGTGAACAGAAGGTGAACAGCACTGGGGACTGCTTTGTAGCTACCCACGGTTCCCTCCACGTCCTCAGCTCTCTCCCCTTCTGCTCTACTATTAATCCAGCAGGGAAAGCACTCAGGTGCAAAATATGGCCAAGGCCGTATTGTTTGAGTTCCTTCTCTCCAGCTGGCTTTTGGACTCTTCTAGAGTGTAACTGAAGAGGCAAGGAGCATTTCTCCACAAGGTTTTTATGGATCTTTCTTCACTTCCAGTTTTACTTAATTGTTTCACTATTTATATGCCTTGACACACTGTATTTCTGTCCTGTGACTGAAGTACCGTATTTCTAGCCAATAGCACAGTTCAGAGTTCCC